GAAATTTATCAAAAAGGGTTAGCATTGTCGTCTTTCTTCGGTGCCGCATATTTACACCTATTTCAATCCAACACTAACCACACCGCGCCAATTACAGTCATCGAACCTGGTTTATTTGGACACCGCGAGGGTACTTGCCATAGTACGAGGCCCAGTAAGTGCCATGCAAATTTTGCGCTCGATTTTTCCTCACTCGTCTTTAAGTTTCTTTCCCGACTTTTTTCTCGAATTTTTCTCGACGTTTTACCCGACTTTTTCGTCGACATTTTTCCAGAATGTTTTCTCGACTTGTTTTTCGACTTTTTTCGCGACTTTTTTCTCGACTTCTTTGAGCGCTGATCACATACATCAAATGCTCATTCCTGGGTAGAAGTGCATGCTAAGAGACATGGTCAGGCTTGATTCTTGGCTTTGTAACGATTTTATTTATCGCTGAAAATGTCTCTACCATGCAGTTTGACCTCCGTACCTTCCTATCTTACAACAAGGCAATGCTGAGCTAGGAAAACTTGTGAATGTCAGATTGGAAAAATTAAAATTGTTTCAGTCTCAAAATGTTCAGGATGAACTAATTAACCAGTGTCTACGGTGTTAAAATAGCTTCTAACTTCATCGACCAGCCCCTGCTTCATCAGCTCAAACCCAAACACCCTACACTCAGCTCAAACACAGTTGTTGTTATTTAGTGCAATGTTTTGATAATTGATTATAAAGTTAACTGTTAATTTATTCAACTAAATTCTCAATTATTAAGCCTGTGTGTTAGGATTACATTTCTGGATTTCAAGCTTGTAATTTTATTAACAGTTCTGTTCAAGTTTCCAAAATACGTTGCCTCAGGCGTTCTCGCTCTTTTTACCCCTGTTAGTCCTCATTTACGTTTTCGCTGTTTTGTTCGACCTATCAATCAACCGTACCGCTTTCAAATATTAATGACAATGAGTAGTTCTCTCTTGGTGTCCTAAAACGATGACACTTTAGCTTTAAAAAGTCAAACAAAACAAATCATTTGGAGAAACATAGGCGTAATTTTAAACAGAATAACAAGTGAAAATGTAACGGTCCTTTCACTTAGGTATCATGCCCCCTACTTTCTCTTACCTATGGATGCAGACCCTTACGGGGTCGGATTACACCTCTCTCCCCCTCCTCCCCAACGACCTTACAAGGTGCGCAATCCCTTACTACCACTACCACGCAATGCTATCTCTATGCATCGACAACAACTTCCTGGGGTCACTACGGTTTCCTCGCCTCTCAAGATCAAGAAAATTAAAATCACTCTTCAAATGCCACATACTTCATGTAAAAACAATGGATTAACACGACAAGCAGCTAAATCTCTTTGAAAGGCATTCCCAAATAACATCTCCTGGCACAGCATTGCCTTTTTGTAAGACAGGAAGGTATGGAGATCAAACTGCACGGTATTACATTTTCATTGATAAATAAAAAAGTTATAATGTCAAACCTGGGCATGTCTCTAAGCACTTCTGCCCATGAATGAGTCTTTGAGGTATGTGATTAGCGGAGAAAAAAGTCTAAAAAAAATTCGGGAATTTTTTCGTGTTTCGATCCAACGGTCGTGTCACTCCTTGATGTACTCGGGTGCTAATAGGCTGTCCTTCAAATTCTGCAGACTCTCAGCTTCTGTGGTGAGGAATTTTCCTTAGTCCCTGCATTTTTTTACTTTTGTCTTCCCAGAGGAGCCCTTTGTCTTCAAGATCTTTAATTTTTTCTGCCATAGCGGCTATGTAATCACTATTTTTAAAAGAGAGGAATCAAACTTTCAAAATCCTGATCCTTTCGGTTGTCAAGTTTTTTTTTCAATTTCCATGCACACTGAAGAATCATCACAGTGCGAATCAAAATTTAAGCTAATTTATACAACAGGATAAATTGGAGTTAATGTGATAACCATAAACCCGCCCTTACCAGTAGTGAATCAGCTAACTTCCTTTCAGAGGTCACTTCCTGTTTGTGACCCCTGTCACACTAATTGTTTCGCTCAGCCAATTAGATGCCAGCTATCACATGTACAGTTGATGCCTATATTTTCGCGCCTAGCTCAGCAAAATAGCACTTCATATTCTTCTCTTCGTGGAACAAAATCCCATCCCACCCTCCCTTATTACTGCTTGATTCTCTCTGCTCGTTTTCTTAAGGTTTTATATATGAGGTCTTTTCTCTTGTTGAAAAATTTAAGAAGCTGCTTATACTTTTTGCAGTCATACGAACTACTGATCTTTGTTGTTTACACTTTGAATCAATTGGCAATTGTCAAGAAGATATGGCAGAAAAGAGGTGGGCTTTCTACTGAGGGGAATCATCGTACCCGGCATCCTAACATGCTTGTGCACTTAGTTACTTTGGGCCTTATTTTGATTATTAAGTTGATAAAAGTTTAATTGTCATTTACTTACAACTTCTATGAATATATTTTCTTCTAACCTCTCTCCCTCGAGGTTCATGTTAAGTGTCTGGCTCTGCTTTCCGGAGGGTTCAGGTTTCCCTCAAAAATAATTGAGGGTTTTTCCTGACGGACAGCAGGCACGCAATCCTAGCTTAAATTAGTGATGATGTCTGTATTGAGAGTCGTTGGCAATTAATAAACATGGGTTCGGGATGAAGTGCTCCCATACAGGTCACACTTTGCCCCATAGACTCTTGTTACTCCTTGAATCGGGGAATTAGACATCTAGAGAGGTCTTTCCACCTCTCCAGTACCCAAGGGGGATTATCACCTCCACTCACAACCTTGGGGGATTATCAACCCCTAGAGAGGATTATCACCTAGCTTCTCACTATCCTGGGGGATTATCACCCCCAAGAGAGGATTATCACCTCTCACTATCCTGGGGGATTATCACCCCCTAGAGAGGATTATCACCTCTCCCCTTGTAGATTTCGGACTGTTACACCAATATGTAGAGAAAAGTGACCTGCTGCCCATATTTGGAGTACTTCATCCCTTACCCCTTTTTTCCCCATAATAATTCTGGTCTAGTTACTTGCTTTATCTAAGGGGTTATGGGTTAAGAGCATTAATTTCGCATTTACGCACGGACAATGGTTGTTAAAGTTGCTTTGATGTTAACCAGTAATCTAATGTGCTTTTAATTTTTTGATCTGACGTTCGCTTCTTATTGCTTCTTATTTCGGTGCAATAATTCCTCCACACATCCTCAAGATCTAAACTACACATTAGAGATTTTATCCCCTCAGGTACATGACGTTTATGGGAGAAATCACAACCTCCTTCCTTATCTTCTTTAGATACGGAAAGGGCAGTTTAATTCGCCTCCTAGAATGATACTCCCCCTAGAAAACTTTTGGAGAACATTATTAAAGTTGTAAATAAAATCGGTGCTGAGGGCCGGGATCGTTATGTGCATAAATGTTAGCGCATAGTATAAGCTTCATATCATCATCAATTACCACCTGCAATACAAGGATTCGTCCGTCTTCGCTTTGCATTTGGTTTTCTATCCTATTAATCCTACATTTACAATGTAGGATTAAATAAAATGGGAAAACGTTTGCTGTGCCTGCTAACCTTGGCAGAAATGAATCTAACTACCCCAAACGTTGCTCCATAACTTTTCTTGATTGTTGGAGCTGTACTTCTCTTGTAAAAAAATTACTGAAGCATTCTTATGATGAAGTTGTCTGAAAATAGCTACTCTTTTCCTCGAACTATTTATACCCCTTACTTAATTTGTGCATAATTGATCATAATTTTTTATGGAAACGACCAGCCTGTAAAGCGGCTCCTTTTGCGCGCAAGTTACACAAAAATAACGATAACACCACAAAACAACACATAGAACCCAGGGGCGGATCCAGGATTTTTTTTAGGAGAGGGTGCACTCGTCTCTTGCTCTACTTCAACACCAATAAACCACATAGTTTTTTTTGTGCAGAATACCAGTTGTATTAGAAAACCGCAGGTCATCTCAGGGGGGGGGGGGGGGGGGGGGAGGCTCTCCCGCCCCCCCCCCCCTGGTTCCGCCCCTGAACAACATTTTCCCCCTCAAAGGTGCACAAAGGTTTGCCGGTGCGGGGTCCCAAAGCCACAGAAGACAATTTTATTCCAGTTATGTGTTACCGTTGCTGCCTTTNTGATTACAGCAGTTTTCCTTGACGAGTGTTTTTCAGATTCTTTTCACTGAAAGGAAAACAAACTTTTGTACAAACTTTGTGAAACTTTGTACACTTGGTTGAGTTGAATTGAAGACAACATACGTGTAAAAACCACCTTTTGGTTTGACTGAACGCAGTTAATATAGCTGAATGGTGTTCAGGACGTAAAACAAGTCAACAGTAACACGATTTCTAAGCGTACTGTTCGGTTAGCAACTTTTCAAAACTGCTTGGCTAGTCGCTCTACAGACAGCTCCACCGTACATCATCGCTTCGACTTGTTCGGTTATTTTAACGGCTCCAAAATCTTTCCTTGGAATAAGTTTTAATCTCGGGCTAGTTTATGACTTTATAATACCCTAAAAATGCCTCCACTTTTGGAGACAATTAAGATCGCTGATTCATTCTTGTTCTCAAGGTAGAAGTTTGCAAAACAATATATTCCTAATTTATGCAGGGCAGTGGCGTGACTCCACCTGTCAAATTTTCAATGAAAGTCCGTTGCTTGTCTTCGGTAGCCAGTCACCAATTAAGCGAGAAAATCATTGTCAATAACATTGCGCTAGTTGAAAAAAGTCATAAAGTCATGAGCTTTCTTTATTTTTATCGGCAAATTTAACTTTTTTGAGCTTCTGTTATTAATAACAAATTGACGCCAGTTTGTTTATGTGTCTGTCCTCTTGTCAAAGTTGTTGTGGATCCACTCGCCTACGGCACGTGGGTCCACAACACTTCCACAACACGACCATGTTGTGACGTCATTTTATCATCAATAAGAGGACAGACACAAAAACTGGCATCAATTTGTTAAATAGACGGCGATTAAATGTTCTCCTGCTAATAGCATTTTTAATTTTTCATTCGCATTCCATTTTCTTCAGCTCTTCGTTGTTTACCGCCTCAACCTTGCCCTTTGAGTCCAAATACTTTAGCGTGGCAGGGTAGGCGATGAAGACCTTACATTCTTTCCCTTCTAGCTTCTTTTGAAGATGTTTCTTGAAAGGAACAAGAGCTTTTCGGCGTTCTTGGGTTTCTTTTGAGAAGTCAACTCCAAATCCGATTAAATTTCCATCAAACGAATTATGTTTAAGTCTAGCTGCAGCGTTCGCCAAAATCTTCATCTTATCCGGGTATCTCACGAAGGCTACGTGGATCGGTCCTGGACTTTTCCTGTTGTCTTTTAATTGCTTCGGAGCACGGTGAGCACGCCCGATTTTGACGAAAGACTTTCTGCTCATTGGTTGGGCGAAACTGTCGTAAAGGAGGCTTGTTCAGGGAACTCAGAAAAGCGTCTTCTCTATAGGCTCGTATTCGCCCCAGCCATTTCACATTGGTTATCCTGTTGTGCGGACGGACGGGCGTCTGGTCAGGTGACTACCAAAATTTCTCGGATGCATGGATAACCAAATATTTGCGTTCGAGGTACGAGAACGCAACCCCTAATTTGTGTTGGGTGTTCTGTGCCTTATTAGGTGTCCTGTGCAATTAATAACGGAGGTTATTTTGAGATTGCATTTTCGTCGTCGTCGACACACATTTGCCTCACTTTGGAGTGCTTGCTTACGTTTTGTCTCACTTTGACGCGCTAACTCACCTGGTGTTTCATGTGTCCTCGGCGGTCATCTTTCAAAGGTTTGCTGAGGTCTGATATTCTGTCTTCGTAAAGCATTCATCTTTAAAAAGTTTGCTGAATCTTCGTAAAGCGTACATCGATCTATGTTTGCTGGATCTTCCAAAGCGTTCATCTTTCAAAAGTTTGCTGTTAAATTTTACTATGGATTAAGCCTTCATATTTTTCAGCATTGTTCGTCACTCTCTTTGGAAAATGTGTGCGATTCCTGGTGCATGCATCAAACCGGGTTTAGTTCGGCTGCCTTTGTGCCACAAAATAAATCTACTGAGTTGTGTAGCTCGGCAGCCGTTGTCATGCCACAGAGTAAATTTACCGAGTTCAGCGAGTTGTGTAGCTCGGCGGCCGTTGCGTCACAAAGTAAATCTACCGAGTTGTGTACCTCGGCAGCCGTTGTGCCACAAAGTAAATCTACCGATATGTTAAGCTCGGCAGCGCCATTTGATCATGACTTGTGATAATTTCGTCACCAGACAAACGAACACTTTGAATTTATGTTATTTATGAGGAAAAACTTATAAACCAGCCCACAGAAGCGCGGCTCTCGAGTCACTGAAATCAACACGCTTGACCAAATTACTGGAAAAGTTATTGACGTGAGCCGCACACACATTTCACTAAAGGCTTTGACAGGGTTAGTGCGAAATTTGAATTCACATGTGAAAGCTTTTAAAAAAGTAAATTCAGTTTAATTCATTTTGTCAACAAGTTCATGATTAGATGCTCTTAATAATAACAGAGAAAATTATTTATAATTCTATTAAGAAATGTTTTTGAAGAAAGAACAAGAATCCCGGGTTAAGCGCTAATCGGCCTTTGAACAACTGCGCGCTGTAATCGCAGCCAGTAAAACAAAAGTTAAAATGTTCTATTTACACGCCCCACGCACTCTGGACACTGTTTCCTCCGATTACAAGCACTTGACACCGAACCATACGATATCTTTTCAAAATCTTCCTATAATGGTGCACAGTTTAAATAGAGGTTTCGTTGTACGCAACCCTTACGTTCAAATATGCCATAATCATATTTATCTATCGCAAGAAACATCCAGTCTTTCCCTTCAACTGTTACCCGCCTGTACGCGTAACAAACATACCGAACGCACTCTCCTAAGCTCCGATTACTCCTAGTCTCACCTATGGCGCAGCTTTGCTGATCTCGATCAGCGAAATTTGTGGCAATATGAAAATGTCTTAAATTAAGGAAGTTAATCGCAGTTGTCGACTCAGCTTCTGCATTCGTGAAAAGAAAGCCTGAAAAAATCAGGTTTGTATGGGCTATGAGCCCTTGACCTCTGAGGCAGCTTTCACACTTAGTGCCTGGGCATGGTGCCCGAGTACGGGTTGGGCACTAATGTGAACACACCCTTCAATTTTTTCAAGTACTCACGCTAGAATTCCGGCACGGTGAAGGTGCCCGAGTACAAGGTCTCGACCTTGCACTCGCGATCGGGCACAAAAGTGGGCGCCAAGTCCCTGTGTGCACACAACTTTTGTAAGTTTCCGGCAGTTCACTGCTTTGTTCTCGCTGCTAAATTCATGTTTCAAAATGGCGTCTGACAGGACGAAATGGAGTAACTATGTACACAGTCACATGTCGGGTACTCAAAGTGTGAGCACAACACCATTTTGTGCTTGTACCCTGGCACTGGTTCCCGAGCACCAAGTGTACATGTGGACAGCCCCTGAGATTCAAGTAAAAGGTAACCAGAGGTTTTTCTCGTCCTCGCGGCTTCGCTTCTCGTTTTTGTCCCTTCGCTTGGCTCCTTCTTTCTCACGCTGAGTAAATGTTTAAGAAACACCACTGAGACCAGGATACAATTAATGCAAGACCTGAACACTCCCGCCAAAAAACTGGTGTGAGATTGCTACTACGAAAAACATGGTCATCCCATACATACTGTCGTTTGGCATTTGCCTTAAATTGATTCTAAATCTCTCCTTTCCATTGAATCGGCCAAAGCCTAACGTCGAATCACCTTTTACCACAGTTAAAACCACGGTCTAGTTTTAGAATCAATGATCCTCCTTTCTAGCAAACATTGTCGTGTTTCATTATTGTTTTACAACACTGGAATTAGAGCTCTTCGCGTTAAGCGTTTGGCATGGTTTTGGCTTACATAGTTTTTGCTTTATTTTCGATCGAAATTTAGCCAACCTGGCTAAAGCATCGAGTTTAGAAACGGAATTATAAGGTTCTCAATCTGGACTGTACAGTGAAAAGTTAACATCAATTTCGGGGGCACTTTCATTACACCTGCAACTTGTGTTTATTAACTTTCCATGCGCAAATGTCTTGAAAACGGCAGGAAACTCATTCAAATTTTAAAACTATACAGAAACGTGCAGTAATAATCAGCGATGCAGTCTAATTTATACAGGATCTACGTTTTGCTAAGAAAAAAAGGTTATAAAGAATAAGTTTCTCATAACGCCACCACGTTCCCCTGATGAATTCAAACTTTCTCTTTTTCTCTTGTTTTTAGTAATATCTTAGGATCTCCTAAAACCTCTACGGCCAATTACCGTGTTCTGGGAGGTGCTAATTTCCTTTTAAGTGGTATACTACATATTTAAACCGAAAAGCGCTTACTCTGTTTAACACTGTTTCTTCCAAGTCTCTTGACATCACGTCGGTGAAGTTCTTTTTCTCGCGTGTGATAAAGTTAAAGACCCCATGAGTCTCAACGTTTATATTTTAATGAAAGTACGAATGCGGCAAAAGAAAATTATAATGGCATAAATTAACGAGTTGCGAAAGGCAGTCTTTTGTGTAAATGGGATGCGATTTGCAACTTTGACGAACAAAGATTGATTCATGACTAAATTCTTGCTTTAAAGCCCACTTCTTAACAGTAAAAGAAAGACATCTTAATGAACTGAAACAAAAAAGTATTCAGTCAAACGAAACATCTGTTTGCAGCAAATGACAATGCAACCCACTCTATTTACATGTCAGAAATCTTAAGGCCAAAAGGTATTGGCTCACTGCATGCAATACACAGCAGAAGCAATCAGTAAAAACCTAAGCGTTACCAGTAACCTAAGAAGACCAATTCATAACAGCTGCTCGACAGATCTGTCTAAACTGCGGATTTGTAAAGCACACGTAGTTTGACTCGCTCAAAATCGTGCAAGAAAATACTTTCACGCTGAGCATGGCACAAAAACAAAGACCAAAGAGAAGGTTGTCTAACACTCCAAAATTCGTGGAAGAAAAGAGTTATTTCAAAATGCTGCGAGAAACCAAAGAAAAAGCGGCAAAACAGGTAACATCGACACCAACGTCAAAAACACGCGAGGGGAATCGATCGTTTACACACTGAAATCCATGTTTGCTCGCAATATATACTTCCGAAATTCAACTTGAATGCAAAGCACGCCTATTTGCTTCAGTATATGAAAAGTAAGCCCTCAGTAACTAAGTTTCAGAGAAATATCTTTAAAGTGATCATTTTTTTGATACTAAAAAATTGTTGCTTTTACTGTAAACGAATATTCCAGTAACATTTGCAAATTTTGATCGAGATAGTGGGATCGGTAGACGAAGAACTAGTTCACTCAATAACAGTCTCTTGATTAACCTCTAAACGGAGCGATAAGCAAAGCAAGATAAGAGCTGTTGCTATAGTTTTAAGCTCAATTGAGAAGTCCTAAAGACTTAAAAAAATACATTTTTTTTAATTAACAGAAAGCGGAGCAGCTAAGGGAAGCAGAAAAACTCGTCAGCAAGGCATCGCCCACATCAAGGCGACGAGGTAAAATGTTACTTAAAACAGCGGAAAATATAGAGAAAGAAGCATTGGAGGAGTTTCAGTCTACGTTTAATGCACATTTAACCCACCAAGCGGAAGTAACATGCTTCGGTTACGCGGCTAGTTCTGATACGAACTTACTTAAAGTCTAAAGTCGTGAAACGTGCTTACATGTACGGCGATTTAATGTCTAATGGACAATTTGACAAATTCAGTGTCGCGCGACATTTTTGATCAATTCAAAGCATATCCAGTTGCGTTCTTCAACGACAGCAAAGAAGGCAAAGATAATTATTTCACTGATATGGATCGATGCATATCGTATGATGGAAGAAAACTTTGTACCGCAAATCGCTTTAGAATTAATTTTGCCTAATATCGAACAAGAGAGATGTTAGCTTTATTGACAAAGTGAACTTTAAACCTTAAAGAACTGTAGTAGTATAGTGAAAACAGCTCAGTTTTATCCTGATATTTGTGTATGTAATAACTCACGCATATTTCCTAATTAAGTAGATGGTCTACAAAAAGAAATTTATTCTTAAAAAAATATATATATCGCGTTTCTTGTCAGCACTACTAAATCGATTGACAAGATGATAGTTTATTGATGGTACATCAGTGCAGCCAACTAATTTATATATACGATTATAAAAACACATATATATAGTCGATATTTTGATGGACACTGGTCCTTTGCAGTTAATAATTAAATGCAATCTACAGAGGCCCTCACAATAACAGGAAGTTTAAACGAACGTGAAGAAAACAAAGCGAAGTAGCCGATTTTGAATACAAAACAGAAGGCGTACTTTTTGTTTTCTCGAAACTCTGCAATATTTTTGTACCATTTATACAGAAATATTCCCGTAATTGATTGCTTTAAGCGTAGTAGTTTTAAAATTTAAAGGTGCTTGACAATGTATTTTCCCTTTAGTAAAAATATCGTTCGCTATCAACTTTCGTTGCATTAAGCGATGACATCTGTGAAAATGCGCGCGTAAACGTCTGCAATTTGTAGTTATATACATTTGACTAATTTTGTGTAATTCATCATTTGGAAAACGTTTCTGTTTTTTCTTTCTGTTAAAGAAGATAAATGAAAATATTTCTACATCCCGTTAAAATGCAAATTAACATTTTAATGGCTACATTTCACTATATTTTCAGAGTCAGTGTATTCCCAGATCACATTTGTCAAAACATTATTTGATTAATATCTGGAAGCTGCAAAGGGCAGTTGCAAGTCTGCATTACACTTATTTTTCGATCCTGAGTCAATCAGCGAGTCATCAAAGTTTTGAGCGTGTCTGTCTGTTTTATCAAAGCCGCAAGAAGCGCTGAGTCATGGCTAGAGGGGAATTTGCAAACTCTTGACGTTTTGCTTTTGATTGCAGGAAATACCGAATCGCAGCTTTGTCTTTAATAAAAACATCCTTTATAAATTATGTCTAAGTTTCCAAATTGAACTTTCGTATATTAACTGACGGGTAAAGGGTTTTAACACATGTTTTACGTAAATTTTATATTTAATATTTGTAAGTTCTTCTGTTATTTTCAGTTTGTACTGTGGACTCGACGATAAGTCGTTAGTTGAACATCAAACCTCGTCGTTTCCAACCCCTACTGAAATTTCTTAAAATGATTTTGAGGAAATATTTCGCGCAGTGTTTTTATCCACAAGTTTACGTTAATCGCATGGAAACAAAAGAAACAGCCTCCTAAGATGTGAGTCCAGCTGTATACAATGCATGCATGCGTGAGGAATGAATGTGTTCATATCAACGTGAAATTATTCAGACCAAGCTACGACTGTAATTGGAAACAGTTGTCTATAGCTAGCTGTCTGTCTTGGACGCTACGAATAAAATCAATTTTAACCCTACGGATTTTACTGTTCTGAGGAAAAAATCTAAGGAAATGTTAAATCATCGATGATGAAAAAAATTACTTAATAAATAGAAAAACACTGGATTAAAAAAAACTCACGATACTGGCGGTTCTACGGACTTGGATGCAGTGGTGAGGCCCATTTTCTTTTTTTGTTCTTTTGCAGCACTAGACTATGTTACTTTGAGTTATTAAAAGACGAGCTTTATGAGCTTAATTTTGAAGAAAGATCCAAGCAAAAGGGGAACCAAGATGTATAGCCCGTACTTCATCGTAATAGTTCAACGGACTCAATGTATGGATAATATAAGAATTTTGTGAATCGCGCAAGGGTTAACTGAGCCATCAAGTTACTAGGCGTTTATGTAAGTAATGACCTGAAATGGAACCATCATGTAGAAGTTCTAGTGCAAAAGGGAAATAGGAGGCTTTACTCTTCAAGGGTCCTTAAGCAATGTGTTGCACCTCCAGCTTCACTGGCTAAGGTTTATACAACCATTGTTCGTCCTGTTCTAGAATATGCTGGCCCTGTCTGGCAAAATATACCAGATTTTCTATCTTATAAGATTGAGAGCATTCAGAAAGGAATTTATTTGCCTGCAAATAAAAATGTTTATGTCACCTAGTCACGCAATAATTTATGTTAGTTTGCTAAGAGGGGCACTTATGCCTAGTCACGCATTCACCTTTAACATAGGTAATCGGCAGGGAAGAGCTGTGAGCAGGGTCCAATTTGACACAAAATAGTCAAGTATTGATCACACGATTATCACGAGATCAATCGGAAAATTACTAGCCGGGAAATCACTAGCTGGTAAATTACTTGCCGGAATATTACTTGCTGTAAAACTACTAGTCACGAGCTCGTTCGGAAAAGTACTTAGCCTCGACTTCATTTAAGGTTAGGGTATAAGACAAGCTGTGTTCCCCGAAGTCTTCCTCTTGGTCTCCTGACTTAACAAGCTTTGCGAATTTGACCCTCCTCCTCCCTTCCCCCGCCTCTTTTTTAATAGTAGTTTATTTACTCTGGGTGCCTTTTTTCTCCGCCTTCACCTTTGCCAGAGCGTAAAAAAATCAAATAATCATAGCTAATTAAATTTGTTTGAAGATGTTATATTTAATCAATAAATCGGCCATCTTGCGTGGCCAAAATTATACCCAAACACATTGTTGTTCCTTATTTCTTTTAGCGCTCTTGCAAACATAGCTCGACTGATGACCCCAGAATTTAGCCAAAGGTTTTCTTTATAATAAGGGTATAAAAGACAAGCGGGCAAGGAGGCATAAAAGGGCTATGCGCATCATTTTTCCTTTAATGAATTACAACGAGGCATTTAATGCCCTTAATTTAACAACTCTAAGTGACAGACGCGCCCATCTATGCCAGGTTTATATTGATAGACTCCGGAATGAGAATCACCCCTTGCATTTTATGCTCCCCAAACAGGAGGAGGTTGTGCATAATTATAATCTTAGATCTGGCATTAGCCGCTCTACGCGTCCTACCTGTAGGGCCAAGCGCACGCAAGAGTTTGTCACGCATAAGTATACCTAGTGGCTTGCACAATTATATTTTCTAGTATTTATTGGATTTATTGTATTATATTTTAGTATTATATGTTTTGTAAATAGCTCTGTAATTCAGCCATTCTGTATATTGCTGCAACGAGTCTTAATAAACAGTCATCATTATTATTATTATTATTACTATTATCAAGACTCATGTAGAGCGGATTGGAGTCGAGAATTTATTTAGAGAGGTTAACACTTGATATTCACCCTGAGTCACAATAAGAACTGATGAACTAGAGTGGGGTATGCAGCCGGTTGAGATCTTTTTGTGCCTGCAGTAAGGACCCGAGTCAGTGGGCGAGTGGGATCTCGCGTAGAGGGGGTGTAACGTGATCAGATGGCTTGGGAATCGTTCCTGGTTGTGTAGAAATGGCTCTTTTGAAGGTTTGATATACAAGAAGGATAATAAGCGCCTGGCTTCGAATTGGCGCCCAATTTCTCTGTTGAAAACTGATTACAAACTCGCTTCTACATTTATCACTGTAATGGTCATCTCCACTGTTCGGACCTGAAATTTAATATTCTGTTAGATTGTTCGGACGCGTGGGAACTAGGCCCTAAGTTAGTCTTCAGGGGCTCGGACCCCCCTATAGTTTTTTCGACATGTGTTTTTTCGCTTGCGTTGTAAATTCTTGTAGTTTGTTCATCATGTTTATGTTTCGTAAATACAATTGATTTATGCAAGAAATCGTTTTATTCATGGTCCTTCAGTAGCCGAATCTACAGTGTCGGCGAGTATTTGAAGATACCAGCGGAGAATTTAGAATTGGACCTCCGTTTGTGGTGAAGAATTTTGTCAAGTTGGTGTTGGCAGTGCGGCGATTGGCGCCATTATCTCTTGTGAACTTTGCAGAAATTTTGGAGTGTTTTAATGGACGAAACTGTCATTCAAGGTTAGTGGAGATGGTGTATGAAAATGGTGAATGACCTGGAGGCTATTAAGAAGAAAAGACGTTTTCTTAGAAAGTCCGTGACGGACACCTTGAAGTCTATCGACGAAGCTCTGTCAATCCCCGATAATCATGCTAGAATTCAGGTTTTGAAAGATAACATTGCAAATAAATGGAACGATCTTCAAGAAGTTCAGGCCTCAATGTGTACTCTATTGGAAGAGAAAGAGATTGATGAAGAATGTGAAAGTCATAACGACTACGAATTGCGTGTCATTGAATACATGGCAAAAATGATGCATTACTTAGAAAGTAAACATGTCGGTAAGGAAAGCGCGGGAAGTAATTCAACTGCAGCCCAAGCGCCGTTGTCGTTAGGCCCCAAGGTACAAGTGAAGCTTCCAAAGATTGATTTGCCAACATTTGATGGGGATATTTTAAGCTGGCAGTCTTATTATCAGTCAATTAAAGTCTCAGTGGTGGATAATCCATCTAAAGGTGATGTTCAGAAATTAGAATACCTAATGAGATCATTGAAAGGTTCAGCTGCCGAAGCGGTTAAAGGGTTTGCAGTCATACAAGAGAATTATCAGCCAGTATTAAAGTCTCTGAAGGAACGATTTGGCCATCCGCGGTTGATTCTTGATGCACACATAAGGTCCCTAATTCATTTGCCACAGTTGAATTCTGAAGATGCATTGTCCATGCGTAAATTTTATGATCAAGTAGTTGGTCATGTTCGTTCTGTTGAATCAATGGGAGAGAAGTTCCGTTCCGAGACCTTAGCGCCTGTTCTCGTG